ATGAAAAGGAAAGCAATGGAGAAAGATATGCCACACTAGCACTAATAAAAAAATAGATACATTAATTTCAGAAAAATCATAATTTTAAATAAGGAACATTAATAGGAATTAGGAGGGATTTTGCATATTCCTGAAAAGCATTACAATGATCCATGTACAAAGATCAAGCAATTTTCTTTGCTACCGAAATAATACTACCACTTCTATACGTTGTTTTCATTAGCATATTATGAAAACATTTTATACAATAGAATTGATAACCGATTCTAGCCAAAGTCACAAAATTCAAATGTGAAGTGTACAAGAAAAAAGGGTCCTTGTATAGGTCTATGCTTGCAAACATGTTGCTACAAAACTCTAAATTGACGATGATGACTTAATGATATTACAAAATAAGGAGACCGAACAAATTTATTTATTTTCTTTAAGATAATCTGATGTTTTCACATTCAGCTGTTGAGCACTATAATTATCAACTAAAATTAAGAGAGACTAAAGCACCATTTCAATTGCTCATTTTCTGATTACTGAGGTTCTACCAAACTCTAAGTATAACTTCTTGACCATGGCTTATGCCTTTATTATACAATTATGGATAATAATTATATTTTTGGATCATTTTTATATCTATAAATGGAGATAAAAGAAAATGAACAGGTAATGCTAATTTAAAGTGGGAAGACAATTGAGGCTGATGTGCATTTTTGAAAATGACACAAGAAATATGTGGTATGTGCATGGGCCCTCAATGGTTTATTTGATTTCATCATTTCCATGCATTATACGTATAGGTGTGCTATTTGTGTGACATATTATTAATGAAAAAATATAATATGTAACTAACAAAAAAAATCCAAATATGTAAGGCAAAATCAGATCGAACTTCAAGGAGAAGTAAATAAATCTACTATCTTAGTTAAATATTTCAGGTCCAACAGATGGAAAATCAGTGAGAACATCATTGAATTGAACAGCACCCTTCATCAACTAAGTCTAGTTAACGTTCATTGAGTCCTTCAGCCAGCCACAACAGAACGCATATCACTTTGAAGCTCATAAGGACATTTATCAAGATAAACAACATCCTGGACCATAAAATACACTTTAAAATTAAAAAAAAAAAGAAATTACATAACGTATGCTTGCTGCCCCTAAATAAATCAAAGTAGAAATCAGTAACAGAATGAATATCCTAAAATAAAAGGGAAGCAAACAAACTCCGAAGAAAAGAGATGGTCATCTAGTCGATTCCAACTCACAGCAACCCTGTAGGACAGAGTAGAGGAGCTCCGTCGTTCTGGAAATCTTTACAGGAGTGGGCAGCTTCGTCTAATGATATCCTTCTCAATACTGTGAAGTCCCAAGAGACATTTAAAATAGTTCCAGCTAAATGAAGATAATGGATCAGCATTGGAAGATGAAGAAAACTCAGCACTTCGAGGGAAGTTGAATGCATTGAAATCGTAGTCTAGGAAAGAAGAAGTATCCCAAATCAACAACCATCATGAAAAACAACAACCAACCTCTCAGCAAAAAGAGCATTTTAAAGCCAAAGTAGGAGTAAGAGAAGAAATAATAAAAATTAGAGCATAAATAAATGAAATTGAAAACACACACACAAAAAATCATAGATAAAATCAGTAATGCCGTTGGTTAACCTCTGGTCAGATTGACCAAGAAATAAATGACATAAATTGCTAATAGTGGAAATGAAATAAGGCTTCATAATGGATCCCATGGGCATTAAAAGAAAAAGAAACGAATATCATGACTAGCCCTGGAGGTGCTGTTGGGTAAGCATTGAACTGCTCACTGCTAGGTCCCTAGTTGAAGCTTAGGAGCTGCTCCTGGGGAGAACGAGGAGGTTTTATGCTCCAGTAAAGGTTTAGCGCCTCCAAAACCTTACATAGGGGGGCTCTGGGTCAGAATCAACTCCTCGGGAATAGGATGAACAATTCTAATTATGTCCAAATTTGAAAATTTAGATGATGTGCACCAACCTCTTGAGAGACACAAGTTACTGAAATTCATAGAATAGAGACCCTAAATACAATGATTTATAAAAGGAAGTGAAGCAATAACTAGGAAGCTTCCAAAACCCAAAGAATCAGGACCAGCTGGTTTCCTTGGTGAGTTCTACCACATATTTAAATGAATACCAGAACGAAAGGAAAAAAGTAGAGAAAGGAAGAACAGTTTCTAACTCACGCTATGAGGCGAGCCTTACCTTAATATAAAGCCAAACAAAGATGGAATATTATTAAAAAGGAAAATTACAGATCAATAACTTATAAGCATAGACACAAAATGCAATAAAATATTGAATTTTATTTTCTTGATTGGAGATTTTGGTTTATTGAATTGACTATTTAATATTTTATTGAGTTCAATAAAATATTGAATTAAATAGCAAATTAAATCTAACAATACATAAGAAGAATTATACACCATGACCTAGTAGTATTTATTTAAGATATACTGGTTCAACATTTACAAGTCAATTAATATAATATTTATCATCACTTCAACAAACTATAGAAGGAAATTCAAATGGTCATATGCATAGATACAGAAAAATAATTTGACAAAATCTAACACCATTTATGATAAAAAAAACTCATCAAACTAGGAATAGAGGAACACTTTTTCAGTTTGATCAATATCTACAACCTAAAACATTGTGAGAAACAAGATATTTTCTTCGAAGGCTTGACAAGGAGATAAAGATGTCCCACTCTCATCACTCCAATTCGACATCATACTGAAAGTCTTAGCTAATGCAATTAGGAAGAAAGAAGGAAATCAAAGATACAGATTGGGAAGGAAGAACCAGAACTGCTTTTACTCACGTATGATATAAATGCCTCTGCAGAAAATCTCAAAGAATCAACAATGCCCACCTCTGCCGCCCCCACCCCCACCGCTGCAAAACAAAGACAACCTGAAGATTAGAGAAAAAAAATCTCTAACAACATATTCGATGACTCTAGTATCCGTAATAATAACAATAATAATAATTTTTGAGAGTATATCCATTTCTGTTTATTGGTTAGTTGGGTGTTCAGTTCCAGAAACTCCAGATAGCAGTACTCTGGTTATATTCAAGGGACCATTGTTTTCGTGTGGTTTGTAACTCCTATTTGTTCAGAATTAATTTCTAGAAGTAGAATTTCTGGGTGCAAAATTAGAACATTCTGAATTTTAATTGTCATTACTAATTTTGTACTTTAAAATGGTTGTAACTTACAATACAGAAAATTCTTTGTATACTTTGTATACTATAATATAATAATCTTTGCCAACATGATAGATAAAAAAGCCCACATGGAAGAAGCACACCAGCCTGGGAGATGACAAGGCGTCAAAGGATCAGATATCATGCATCAAAGACCAAAAAAAAAAAAAAATCATGACATTGTGAATGAGGGGGAGTGCGGAATGGGGACCCAGGGCCCATCTGTGGGAAATTGGACATCCCCTTGCAGAAGGGCTGCGGGGAGGAGATGAGCCAATCGAAGTGCAGTGTAGCAACGATGAGATATACAATTTTCCTCTGGTTCTTAAATGCTTCCTCCCCTCCACTACCATGATCCCAATTCTACCTTAGATATCCGTCTGGACCAGAGGAGGTGCACTGGCACAGATAGGAACTGGAAATACAGTGAACCCAGGACAGAAGAACGCCCCAGGACCAGTGGAGAGAGTGGTGATATTGGGAGGGTGGAGGGAAGGTGAGGGAGAAAGGGGGAACAGAAGACAGAGTCTACATATAGCCTCCTCCCTGGGGGACGGACAGCAGAGAAGTGGGTGAGGGAGACGTCGGACGGGGTAAGATATGACAAAATAATAATAATTTATAAATTATCAAGGGTTCATGGGGAGGGGGAGCAGAGAGGGAGGGGGAAAGATGAGGAGCTGACACCAAGGGCTCAAGTAGAAAGCGGGTGTTGTGAGAATGATGAAGTCAACATATGTACTAATGTGCTGGACACAAATGATGTATGTACAGATTGTGAAGAGTTGTATGAGCCCGCTAATAAAATGATTTAAAAAATATATTCTCAGTGTTTAATTTGTGAAATTTATTTTTAATTCACTAATTTTGGTTTCTAGGAATATTCATTTGTAATTTATTTAATCTTTGAACTTTAAATTTTTGCCACTATGGTTGCTATCAGATTTTTAAAAACAGAGTACTCTCACTTTGCAATATCACTGGAATTTCACTGAAGCTCAGAAACAGAATACTTTTCTATACTTTTAACCATCAAAAAGTTAGTCTTTTACCTGCCTTTCACCATCTTTACTGAATAACCAGAGTTCTCAGCTCATTGATCCCCTGGTCTGAGGGAACAGAATTTTTACCAGAAATCTGATATAGGCTTTAAATTTGATAAAATTTTCATTTGAATTAGAAACTGTAGTGCTGTGCGCAATGGATTTGCACCACTTTGTTGCATCTGTCTACCTCTTACCTCTATGGGCCCTCATTTCAACACACCTTGTCAGGGACCCTCACATATGGCTGTCTGGGCAGTATGTTAGCATGGGCAGGCGTAGACCCAACCCTGGACCATGAGGGAGACGCGTTTATATAGTTAGAGCAAGAAATGTTTCACAAGTGGTATGTGATATAGTCTACTCAGGACTAATAAAGGAAAAGCAAAATTAAAAAATAAAAATCACTTTTCCTGATGTTAAAATACTTCATTCTTTCAAGAGCTACTTGACGTAAGTGAGAAAATGCCTTCATATTAGTGATTCTTTTCATGTACTTCAAATTTGAACTTAATGCCTTTTTCTTCCTGGACATCAGGAAGAACACCTGGGTATTCTGGGAGAAGTTTGTATTTCTCTAAATCAATTTCAGGAAAGAATGTGTCATTTTCAAATTCCTGCATGCTCCATGTCACCAACAGTCTAACATGACTTGGTTGGTCCTGGGCTTTCTTGTAAACAGAAGTGCCTCTTATGAGCCAAACCATATCAGCTTTATTTCCTCATTCTGGTTGCTCAATGAGTTTTAAGGCCCCATCCAGACTTTTGGCAAGAAAATGAGCTCCTTGTGGGGTTTCCATGAGTTCTCTACTGAGAACTAAATTAATTCTATCTTTCAAAGATCTATTCTTCTCAGGAATGGAGAACCAGGTCTTCCTACCCATCATCACCAAATTCTGTTTACCTGCCACTGAAGAGGGAGTGGTCGGGGTCATTCTCTGCAAATACTGGAGTTCAATCCTGAGTATGGGCCAGGGTCGGTTTCCGTTCTTGCTGATGCCCAGATTTTGGGACACAGCGACGATGCTGCAGTTTAGTGGAGGCGCCATGAGAAACACTATGAACATCTCAGAGCTCAGCACGGGGCACCTGAATTCCAGGCGAAGCTTGGCTCGAAATTCAATAATAACTTTTAAAACGCACTGCCATTGAGTCAATCTGACTCATAGGAATCCCCTGAGGATTTCTGAGCCTGTAACTGTTTACTGGAGTAGAAAGCCCAGTCTTTCTCCCACGGAGGTGCAGAGGGTTTTGAACAGCCAACCCTGCAGATCGCAGAGCAAAGTGTAACCACTACTCCACCAGGACTCCTCCATCATACATACATATGTATTTTTTTCTACAACAAAAAGATAAACTAATGAACAATGGGTAGAAGACTTGAACAGATACTTCACCAAAGAGGATATTCAAATGGCAAACTAACATGAAAACAGGCTGAAATTGTCAGACGTTAGAGAAATACAAATCAAAGCTTTAATGGGAACCTGTTGCACCTATTAGAATGATAATGGTTAAAACAAAAACAGAGAACAACCTGTGTTGGCCAAGTTGTAGAGAAACTATAACCATTCGTTATCCATCGCTGGCAGAAATGTGAAATCGGGTAGAGCCACTATGGTAAACAGTTTGGCAGTTCCTCAAAAAGTGGAATATAGAACTATTAGATGGGCCCAGAAATCCTAATCCTGTAAATACACCGGGTAGAAGAGAAGACGGAAACGCAAGCAGAAACCTTTGTACCAGGTGTTTCACAGTAGTGAAAAGGCAGGAGTAAGACAAAACATCCATCAAGAGATGAAGGGCTCAACAAATGTTCCACACACACAATGGACTCCTGCTCGGCTGTTAAGAGAAATCAAGCTCTGGTGCATACACAGCATGGATGGACCTGGAAAGCATGCTGAGGGAAATAAGGCAGTTGCAAAAGGAGGCATATTACATTCTCTTACTTATGTCAGTACGAAATAAGCAAATACATAGAAATCAAAGATTATCAGGGCTTACCAGGGGTAGGAAGGAGGGGGAAACGTTCACGTAGAGCAGGGCCCTCAACCTGTGGGTTGCGACCCCTTTGGGGGTTGAATGACCCTTTCACAGGGGTCGCCTGATTCATTACAAAATTACACTGATGAAGTAGCAACGAAAACAAATTTATGGTTGGGGGTCACCACAACATGAGGAACTGTATTAAAGGGTCGCAGCATTAGGAAGGTTGACAACTACTGGCTTAGAGGGTATTGAATTTATGTTCATGGTGGTGGAATGATTCTGAAAAGGATAGTGAGAATGGTTGCCCTAATTAAAGAATGTCATCAATGTTATTAAATCGTTACGTAGAAATTGTTGAGATGATGTGTTTTTTTTGTTGTTGTTGAGCATATTTTATCACCATAGATTTGCAAACAACAACAATAAATAGAGCACCAAAATAATCCTATAGACCAGAAATGAACACTTAGGATTTGAAATTAAAAACTCAGTCACATCATTAACATCAGTATCAATAAAACCCTGAAATATTTAGATAAAAATCTAACAATATATGTATGAAGAAAACTAAAGCTCTGATGAGAGAAAGCAAAGAAGATCTAAATAAATGAAGAGAGATTCATGCAATGATCATCTTACCAAGATGTAAATTCTTTCCGATTTGATCTATAAAGCCAATTTAATCTAAATCCAAATCTCATGTATGATATTATAAATGTGAGCATATGGCATGCTGCAGTTGCTAAAACCCATAGGACAAAGCAAGAGTGTAAAATATGAACTCTGGTTAATAATAATATAGAGATATTGGTTTGTTCATTTTAACCAGTGTGTTACACAAATGTAATGGGAGACGTGAATAATAGGAAAATCTGTGTGCATGTTTTCTTTCTTTCCTAATTTTGTAAATGACTTCACTTTCTTCATGTATGATATTCTTACAGAGAAAAGACGGAAATCTCAAGGATTTCATCTTGTTTGGGTCCACAATCAATGCTCACGGAGGCAGCAGGCAAGAGATCAAATGATGCACTATATTAGGTAAAGCCGCTGCACTAAAGCTCTTGTGTTAGTCTGGGTATTTTAGAGAAACAAATCCACAGAAACTCATATGTATAAGAGAGAGTTTGATATAAAGGGTAAGTTCATGTCAAGAAAACATCCCAACCCAGTGCTGCCCAAGCCCACAAGTCCAACATTAGCCCATATGTCCCACACCAATCCAAAATATCCTCCTCCATCTCACAAAACACACACTATGATGCTGACTGCAGGAGGAAAGCCGAATCAGTGAACGTGTAAGCATCTCAGCTCTGGCAAGCGTCTCCACACGGCTGCTGCAGCACCCAGGGCTGCATCAGGATAGGTCCATGCAGTTTCTCCTCAGGGATGTCTTGCAGGAAGTGAGCCTTGCCAGCTGAAGCAGGGGGCTAAGGCAGCTGCACCCTGGTCCGACCGTCACAAAGCAAGAGACCTGAGAACTTGAAAGGCGAGGCTCACTGAACCATTTAGCTCTCCTCCCTTCAATTAACCCCACATGTGTTCATCGGCCAGGTTGGCACAATAAATCTTAACTAGCTGAGCCATTTAAAGTGTTATCAAGCAGGGGCAAGACATGGTATTTTAATTGTTTCAAATGCTTGTGAAGGTTAGACATTGAATAAGGAAGACAGAATTGGTGCATTAGCATTATGGTGCTGCAGAAAAACATTGAAAGTACCATGAACTGCCAAAAGAACAAGCAAATCTTTCTTGGAAGAAGTAGATCCAGAATGCTCCTTAGAAGCAAGGATGGTGAGACTTTGCCTCGAATACTGAGTCAAGAGAGGCCAGTCCCTGAAGAAGGATATCATGCTGGGTAAAATAGAAGACTCATGAAAAAGAGGAAGGCCTTGGACAAGATGGATTGACACAGAGCCCTCACAATGGGCTCAAACATGACACCAATGGTGAGGATGGTGCATGGCTGGATGGGGGTTCGTCTGAATTGACCCCGTGACACCTGACAACAACAAACAGCAACAGCAACAACTTAGCCACAAGGAGATTCCTATTGATAGATTTAGGCTAGTAGATTCACATGGTGAAAATTAGAGTCAAGTGAGCCTTCTGTTCATACTTCGTCCTTCCTAAATATACTCAAATCAAGTTTAGCTGAATCATAGCTCCATTATAATGAGTACTTTTTGCATAGTGCTCAAGGGGACATGCCGATGTGCTTCTTTTCTAATATAGAATCCTGTTGGATATCCATATGCAAGCACACACACACACGTAAAACCTTTTCCTAATCTCCAGCAAAACTTCAAGTCAGCAAAGTGGCCAGGCAGCCATTGCTGTTCTCCGTCTTCTCTCCTTTTGGGTCTTTTCGGATGAACAGCCTAATGTCAGTTGACAAGTTCCCTATGTTGTCCCAACTCATCAGTACCCCACACTTCTGCTCTTCCTGACCCTTGTCCCACAATCAAACCCCCAAATGCCCCATTTTCCTCAGCAGAGCTCTAGTCTGATCAAGTCTGCTGGGCTCAAATTTTGTCCTCTTTGAGGTAGTTGCCTTTTAATGAGGACTTATAAGGATTTCTTCTACCAGGAGACTTCCAATGGTGGAAAATTAAATACCATTAGCAAGGAGTTGACCCCAGCTCTGCCTCCAGTGTTTAAAATACTAGCAGGGTCCCATATGGTAAACAGGTTTCAAATTAAGACTAAGAACTAAAGTCTAGCAATCTACTTCTGAAGATCAGTCCATTGAAGCTACGTGGATCACTCCAGAACATTGTCTAACTTTCTTTGGACAGATCATTGTATTGGAGGAGGATCGGTATATGAAACCAGGACTGAGGAACCTACAAGGAGAGCAAGTTGGTCAAGGGTTCATGGTGCATACAGTGTGGGGGTGATGGGGCAAAGGTGAGCTGCTATCAAGGAGTTTAAGAAAGAAGAGAACATATGGAACTGATTGTGGGAGCAATTGTACAATACTTCTTGATGTTACTGAACTATGGAATGATCTGATATCTGTATTAGCTCCCACCCAATAAAGTGGTTTAAAAAAAGTATTGGAGGAGGGCATCATGTTTGGTGACGTAGAGGGCCAGGGAGGGAATAGAAGCCCCTGGGTATGAAAGTTGGCACAATTGCCACACTTTAATGGTGATCATGAAAGTAATGTAGAATGATGATTGGGGTGATAGCTCATTCTTGTTTCAGTTTGCATTTCTAAATAGAAATCTCTTTCATATATTCAGAGTCATTCTCTGAGAATTCTCAATTGTTTTTCTGACATGTAATTGCCCGTAGTTTCTGTTACAGTATGACAAGTGTAGTTTTGGTAAGGAAATTCAGCACGATTTGTCTAGCCTAGTCAAAGATGATCAGGAGCCAAGGATAATGTTGAAATCACTGAGTTCTGTACAGAAAATATTCAAGAGCAATTTTTATCTGAAAAATAGTCAAAGGGTTGATGCAATAAATTAAATAAATAGCACACTCATCCACTGGATATTGTAATGTGGGTATGAAAATTAGCACGTCTTGGAACTTAGTTTTACTGATAGACCTAAAACTTGATTTTCATTGGGAAGAAACATTGACATAATTGGCAACTATACACATATATAATTAATATTTTTTATTTATAAAGTTGAAACCAGTAAAGGCTAATGTAATAAAGGCCTTTTGTTACAGGTGCTACAAAAAGAAGCTAAGAAATAATAACAAAATTACCCCAAAAGAGTATTTTTTATTTATATATTAAGAAGTTATCATATAAATAGCAAATTTATAAAATTTAACATTTTTAAAACTTGTGTTAGTCTGGGTTGACCAGAGAAACAAATTCATAGACATGTGTGCATAAGAAAGAGCTTTGTATCAAAGAGTAATTCTAAATTAAGAAAACATCCCAGCCCAGTCCAGATCAAGTCCATATGTTTTATATTAGCCCATAAGTCTGATATTTGCCCATATGTTTGATACTAGTCCATAACTTCTTCTACAGACTCACACAGTGCACACAATGATGTCAAATGCAAGATGATCACAGGCCAGTGGGTGG